ACTTTGTCAGATAAGGCAAGGGTTGATATGTTATTCAACAACAAAGGCAAAGTTCAAAGATGTTCACAATCTGTGCATAATCTATTTAATGGTTTAAAATAATCAGGTATTGGTTAAAGGGGTAAATGCCAGTTTCAGTTTTTAATGTTCTATGAAACACATTGTATGGACAAAGGGAAGCAATTCCTAATTCCTATGCAAATTAATTATCCAAAGGTCTAAAATGATATATTCTAGAGGAAACTTGGTACCCTTCTTCTGACAAACCTATAAAGATATACTGTACACACAAGAAGAATAACTTCACAGTGGTACACTTTTACATAAAACTTTGATTCATAACAAATTAACAGTAAATCCTCCTGTACAATATGATGGGAACTTCGTCTTTATTTTGTTCTCCATTCCAAAAATAAGATATATATATATCTTTTGCCTTAGCTTTCAATACTTTCAGTACTTTGATTCTTTTTATCTCCAGATAAAAACTGATTACTTCTTACTTCATTTGATTGAGATTCTTCCAATCTTTCAATCATGTACATTACTTCAATTAATCATCTCATTAATACTTTTCTTTTGTCATTTGTATTCTCATGTGCGTGCAACTGTCCGCCATCTATCAAATCAGCTTGTCTTGTACAATGTAGGTTATGTTACATGTTATTCAATATTTGTGTAATGTTTTCGACACCCTTATTGTACATGTACACATTAATTACTCTGTATTATGCTGTAATGCTTATGGGCCGTAAGGCTGAAAGTGAATAAACAATACAATACAATACAATACTGCTTTTATACGCCTCTGTTTGAACCGCCCGATGTTTATTTTTCAAAACAAAACTTTTTAAATTAAGTTCGGTATTATACGTACGGCCTTGCGGCCTTTCAGGAGACGACCAACCAGTAAATACATGCGTGTGCTCGGGCTTTACTGAAATGGGGATGCCCAGGGGGCTAAAAGTGAAGTACCGTGAGAGGTATTGCACCCGCTGAGCTAAGGCCACCCCTGATAGCGATCATGGTCATCGTAACTAACACACCGGTCTTTTGGTTTACATACCCAGGTAAATTAGCAAAAAGGATTTGATATAAGATGACTTTACACGTTAGGATTTACATTGTGATTTTGCTGAAATTATCATAAAATAGTTACAACTAGAAACATAAATTTATGTTTTTTTAGTAGAATAAAATGTGCTTAGAGATATTAAAGAAGTTGCAAAAATATGAAAATTTTAAATAGATACAGTGTAAGGTTTGATTTGTTCTTTTGAAATTCGGAATGAATACTAAACTCATTCAACCTCTTGACACACGAATCAGTTGCTTATCTTATATCTGAAAGAAGTTACATATAGTCACCATACAAAAGGACAGTTTTATATACTTGGACATGTTTGTACCAATTATAAGATATTTAATTAGTTACAATAATGTTTGTTTGGACTTATCCTGATATATCGGAGTAATCATTCTCCCCAAGTGTTGGTTGAGATACATCTAATTTATACTTCCTAAATTCTAAGATTTCGTTGGAGAAATGTAATCTAGTTACGTCGACAAAGGACATATATGCGTACACAGGAACCCGAGAGTCTTAAAGTGTACCCTGAATGAAAATAGAAACTAATATATTATTACTCTATATTATCCAAAAACAAAAATGTCGAAAACCGCATAAAAACCGGTCGTAATCGTAACTCGCGGTGAATGGGACCCTATCGGATGTGACGTCACAAGTTCAACGCCTCTAGCAGTCACCATGACAGGAATGGACGAGTTAGAGAACAGATTCGGCCTTCCACGTAGGCGGCCGGGGTTCGATCCTCGAAGTCGTCGCACGCATGGAATATCAGAGAAAGTGTTTTTCTCCTGCCCACACAACACCAACAACCCAGATGGAGTATAATCTGGGATGGATGTTGCGGTATCTGTGCTGTAGCATTCAAGTGAGGTGGCACTTTAAATGATGCCTTTGGATGCACGGTCCCATTACAAACAGAACACAACGCATCTCCAGCACACGCGCAGGCATACACACATAGGGAGATATTAGCCAGGTGGCATAGGACTAGTAGTTAGCGCCTGATAAGGCAGCTCCTGCGAGTTCCTCAAAATTGTATTAATTGAATATCTATGTACTGTAGGCGCTTTAGAGTAGCTTATAGGTTAGCTAGATAGAACGCTATATCAAATGTTGTATATTATTAACACACCCTGTAAGCATTGAGTGTCCTGATTCTGATGAGAAATTTGTCGAATACACGCAAATACTCTCAATGTTGTCGATCAAAAATGATTTTAGCTGGAAAGTCAGTTTGCAATTATTTTCTTTACTCTACACAGAGACGTATAATACATCATTAACAATGTATTATACGTCTCTGCTCTACACAGACGTATACACTTTATATTCTCTGCTCTACAGTCACATACTGTGGCACCGCTACAGTCCAAAAAAAACCGGAAATGTATCATTGAAAAATGCTTACAAAATAACTTCAACGTTGGTTTATGCTGTTTTTGAATGTCAATAAAATGTATGGCATATTTTCAGTATTACCGTTTGATGGCAAATTTACGATACTGTGTCTTCCTTATGTTAGGTAAGAGACATATAAAGCAAGTAGTACATACGTCTCTGGTTAGGTCGACACTTCAAATAAACAGCAAAATACCGACACACATTTATTTTTATACAATACAGTACTTCGGTGTCTTCTCACCTAGACAACATTTGGTATTTTTGTTACCTACAGGTAAGATTTTCATGTTGCCCAGGTGAGACTAGTGTTGAGTGCAGAACAATAGCCTTAAATACAGGTAATCGCTATAGTCAAACTCATAAAAGTAGATAACTTGAGACTATATTTACCTAACATTCAAACATAAATACTATGAAATACATTACCTATAACAAGTATTGGTAATATAGATATTAAAGTACAGCAAGTATTTAAAAGCAATATTTGGCACTAAAACATATTCTTATATAAAAAGCATATTAATCCAAAGATATATACATCTGTAAAAAGTCAAAAACCTATCGCACATAAAAAATACATATTTCAAGAACTAAAGGCACTAAAACATATTCTTATATAAAAAGCATATTAATCCAAAGAGAGATACATCTGTAAAAAGTCAAAAACATATTGCACATAAAAAATACATATTTCAAGAACTATTATGGCTTAAAAAAATGCATGTACCTCTAAAAGACAATTAATACATATAAATATGACATATATAAAGCACTAAAATTTTGGGTCAATCTTGAAGACCTGAGCTAAACAGTTTTTGAGATGCTGAATCAACATGCACGTGTTGACCATATCATACACTATCTCAGTCTAAATGGAGTAAGTGGGATGCTGAATCAGCATACGTGTTCACATTAATATGTCCGTTCTGGAACCTGTCCTTGAGCTGAGTAAGGCGCTCATCCAAACGTCGATACTTCTTCTTTCTTGGACGTGATTTTCCTCCAGCAGGCAGTTGAATCATCCTAACCTCGTCAGCAGCCTGTAATTTCTGGAGCAACTTTACAATCGCATAAATGTTCGGGTGTGCATGCTTGCACATCCTGTTTACTTTACTGTGCCATCCTTCTACATGATTAGTTGTACGAGGCCCTGTGTTGTCATAGTGGTTCCACAGGTCCAGCTGCTGTCCTTCCACCCACGTTTCTGTGACATAGTCCTTGAAACGGGTAACCTCTGGGCTGTTGTCCTCATTTTCATCAAGAGCATTGAACCAAACGTCTTCCACTTGTCGGGTCGGAACCAAGGGTAGGACAGCAGCTCTTCTTACCTTTACGGAATGGAAAACATACATGCAATACATTTTTGAAATTAGAAGAATTTGAACTATATAATTATTATAGAGGCTGCGATCTGTTTAGATTTGATGTAATTTTCGAGAAAAGCGGGAAGGTGGAACTTTTATGACTAATGTTAGATAATTACACTTACCAACTTTCTCAGTTCATCGTCCTGTTTGTAACGCGCAGCTAACCCACATCCCTGTGTCTTTCTCCAAATGCATTGCGTGTAATGGAAAAAACAGGCTTTCACTGTCGTAAGTGGGAACACAGCATTTATCGCGTTTCGGGCAGCTACTTCANCGTAAAACACATCTCCAATAAACACGGTTATCCCGTCTTGTCCGTATAGAAAATTTGTAGCCAGCATGAAGTAGGTAATAGCCACCTCTACCATTCTCTAAAAAGTCAACCTGTACTTGTGCATTGGCCATGGTAAAATGACTGATATATTTTCAAATTCATGATAAACAGACTTAATAGTGTGAGCAGTATTACCTACCTAAAATCTACCTGTACCTGTATACATAGAAATATTATAATAGAGATTAGTATATCTGAAACAGACTATAACTGAGGTTCACTCAGGTTGTAAAGATTGAAATGTTGGCCAGGTGACACTGGGTATTTTTCAAATGTTGGCTAGGTGAGAAGCAACCAGTACTTCTGTATGCGATGCTAAATTATATCACGGACTTAGACAATCTAACTCCGTGATTATAGTTATCTCAAAAATATAATTGAATTATGAGATTCAAACTTTTTCTCTTCACATACATGTAATATACCCAAGTTATAATTTAACATCTTGTTTCAATAATGAAAATCGTCTCGATCCACTCCCTTAGCCTACTTAGGTGTGACATGTGTGTGCAGGTAAATAACACTTAACACACTCGTGTCCAGTTCTGACCGCAGGAGGCCCAAGACGCACCAATATATATCAGGTATGACATCAAAGGGATCTTAGCAGGTGGGCTAAGGGGTACCTGAAGTTAGTATATTTATATTGATTTATTTACATTTATTTACGTCTCAACTCATTGCATATTACATCCATAACTGCCTAAATCAACACTTAAATACACACATGTTAAACATATTTATCAACACTATAAATATTTAATTTACATCAGTAAATTATCACATAATTCATCTAAAATTTAAAATTATATATAAACCATATCTTTGCTAAAATACGCTCATTTTAACATGGAATCATATAAACATATGCATGCGATAAAGCAGTTAGAAATATAATGATCAGAATGTAGATTGGTGTAGATTATGTGTCTTCCAATTTTCCATTTAACTGCAATGTCCTCAGTCTAGATAACGGGGAAATATTACGTCTCTGGTATAAGGATCGATTTCAAGAAAAAGATAAATAATAAAATGTGTAAGTACTGCCAAAGAGTCACATTATATGCAAATCAAAGTCAGTACAACTGCATCACCGGACAGATGATAGTCAGTAACAAGGCAAATAATGCTGGACCCTGTTATGCAAATTATATATTACTAATCTTTATGAGACTTGAACGGACCGGTTCGTCCTCTGCAAGATTATTTTTTTTAAATTGGTGTGTATATCTATTATGTGTTAAATTCCATGGATTGCATAAAGAATAAAAAAAAATGTTTCAAGATTTTATAACTGGGGGTAAAAGTGGTCGGGTTGCTGCTCAATTTGAGCATAACTTGTTATATTTACATTTGCATGGCATTGTCACTATGTATCCTCTTTGGAAGCTGTGTCGTTGAGTGGACTTTCATTACCATGCAGCACGAGACACAATTCTTAGCGTATTAAAACAACACTGACCAGAACTACAATATCCAATGTAAATAAACATGACGGCTGCTGAAATATCGCTAGGCATTGTGAGATTTGACAATGTCATTGTAAATTTATGTGCAAAATAAAAAATAAAATAAAAAAATACTTTTATTACAACAAAAACAAGACCAAGGTCTGCAATATCGTACAAAATGCACATCGGTTTGAAATCACCAATGCCGCCAATGTAAACAATTTTAACGCTCATGCAATTTATCAAAAATATCGTCTGTTGCACTGCACTGATCAACAGGGGTTCGTTACAAATGTCTGAAATACACATATTTTATAGACCTACTGACACATATGTTACAGACCTACTGATATGAGTCACAACACACAAACATTTCTAACGAACCTGTGCTCCGTCACAAGATCACTCACTTCAAACGCTATCAGTTTTACGCGTCTCGCATCCACGGTTCCTCAGTTTCTGACGACATGTCAAATAACGAGACTGTTATAGAATCTACCGACTGTTGTCAGGTTCCCATACAATCAACAAATACAATCACGCCTGGATTCTTCACAAAATGAGCAAAGAGAAAAGTTCGAATTACCTTCCAAAAATAACTCCCTCGTGGAGGGCAAGGTCGGATTTACGGTGTTCACTGTATTTGTCCATGCGCGAAATTTGTTCCGGGAAAAAATCAAAACAATTTCAAATCTAACTTTCAGCTCAGGGTTCTACTGATAAACTTAAATCACCCTATAGATATGTCATACGCAATTGTATTGATACTGAATTGCGAAATAAAATTGAAGTGTTTGTTAAAATTTCAAAGTACTACTTTGTTTGCCAATCAGCACGCGACAATACGCTGTTCAAACTTTTGAATGAAATTGTGTGGACTGTCGATAAGGCGGGCATTTTCAATTTTGAATATAAATTATAAGTTAAAAAAGAACATAAGAGGCAGAGAAAACGTAAATATAAGTCATTCAAATAGATCATAAATACAAAAACAGTTCAATGCTTAAGTAACGGTGCATGTTTCGTCTGTTTCAATCGTATATCTACATATTGTAAAGAAAGGGGTGGGGTGCGCCTACGTTAATTTGGCTCAATTTTGACTCAATTGCTTTTGTATTGTATATAGGTTATCATCAATTTTTTTAGAGATCAATTAAATAATAAAAAGTATAATATTGACATTCACTAGATTAACGAATTATGTAAAAACACGGATTCATTTAGATAGTATCCGCATGTGTGTTCGGACACCCGCATACAGCACATCATTTGCCTTCTCATTAGGAACTAATTTCTTAATTAAAATGTGGAAAACAAAATATATGTATGTAGTACTTAAAATATTATAATAAGTGACGACGGAATATATCATATTTTTTTATTTCGTTTCATTTTATTTTTTCAAAAGGTTAACAACTTATAGGTACAGGCTATTACTACAACCATACATATTCAATACATGCTTACCAGGGCGGCAGTTTGTATGTGTAAACAAATAAGTGGCATGTATTTTAAATGAATAAAGTACTACTTATAAAATAAGTAACATGTATTTGAATGAATGCACATCATCAGTGATATACTAGTTAAAGAAAAAATAATAGAAATAATGTATTGAAGGAGAACGCATTGTTGTTAGTTCATACATTTAAATTTGTTTTCAGATTATCTCTCAACATAAATGATTTGTGTAGAAACTTTCCAAATTTGCATAATTCAGATGTATTGCTAGAGTTCAAAAGACTGATGAATTTAAACATGCTGGGTTTCAACCAATTATATTTTTTCATGTGAATATGTCTATGTATCTGAAAGTGGTATTTGTCCTCAATATCTAAATTGCATACAAGATTCTTAGGTTCCTTGGTACATTCCTATATCTACCTTGCTCAATTTCTAACTGGTGACTGGACATTCTGAGTTTCGTAATGACTTTTCTGTACTTGAATTGGATAGGTTTCCCAAGATAAATTTTCATATCAAAACTTTGTGCATATATTAGGTGTCTATACATACTACATTTGGTCGATTCAGCTATATGACTCCTTATTTCCTGTACACAACAATCAAAAAGTCTTTGTTTAATAATATCCAGAGCACTTTTTACATTTATTGTCACCTAAGTCATATAAGTAGCTAAAAAGCTCACATATCGAACGCATGATCCCTGTATAGGGCTGTTTTGACAGCGTTGAACTTGTGATGTCACAGATGTGGGCTACCCATATCGAGGCAATCGCCGCTGAGCCAAAGGTGTGTTTTTCAGATAAATCACAATATCTCGGAAACATGATATTCGATTTTCTTCTTCTTCTTCTTCTTGTGATAAGGCGTCATGTAGATTAACTTGTTTTACAGTTTCCATCTTATACATTGAATTACACATGTAGACTAGCTATCTGTTTGCATATAAAATTATAATAACTTAACAGTTTTGGCGACTGTGACCTGTGCATATATTTGCACATGGACTTTTGGTCAATGTCTCTCAATATCTGTGTGATTTGATAGCTATATAGCTTATATACATTGTAAAATGTTATAAAAATAAATAATACCTGTGGAAGTGTTTTGTGTGTGATGTGAGAAGTGTGAATGCATTTGTATTTCAGTTATGTTAATTAAGAAGGAGTTCATCCCTTTAAAAAAAAAATGTTTATAATTTTCATTTCAAAATTGATGTATTTATTAAATCAAATAAAAATAACAGAATCTGTTAATTGAGCCACCGCTGGAGAGAATATAAATATAGGCTTTGTCTGTTATTCCATCCAATTGACTTGTATCAACTTTGTCAATACAATTTGTTGAAATGAAATGTAGATTAACTTAATCTGAGAATTTAGGAAGTTTAAATTAGATGTTTTAGTTGACTACGACTTTCGCACTTTCTTAGCCTTTGATCGTATTAAACGAAGTATTTTCATAGCTTGAAATAGCAAAACGTTGTACATTTCTTGGGTCGGTTAGAAGGAGGGCGGCAATTATTTCGAGAAATAGTTTTAACCACTAAAACATCTAATTTATACTTCCTAAATTCTCGGATTAAGTTTATCTACATGACGCCTTATCACAAGAAGAATGAGATGAAGAAGAAGAAGATGTAATATTACTACACGACGCGATAGGTCCAATCACGGAATTAGAATAGATCTAAGTCCGTGGTCCAATCAAACAGCTGTAGCAAATTCCCGGGTCCCTGTGCCTACAGGTAGTAACCTTGTAATCTTTACCTTCGAAATAACAATAGCCGCAGGTAACAGGGTTGACCACACGTTTAAACAATAATAAATGTAAGGCCGGGTAAAAGCAAAGACCAGATGATAGTTGGGATTAATTCACTAATGTTTAGGAGAGTGAAATCGGTGCTGTTTGTGCAATATACTTTTCAAAATGACTGTCAAGGAAAGCAATACAAAACTTTAGTTCAAGGCTGTTTTAAGGAGGGAATTACACAAGTAATTCAGATT